GGAGTTCACTGTCTCCGAGATTCGAGAAGCCTACGCGGTTCTTCAAGATGCCAAGGGAAGAATAACAACTCCCGGATTCCAAAAAAGTGTTCTTGTCAAAGTCAAGAAAGGAGAAGATCATCATCATGGAGTTCTCGGAATCGGTAGGGAAGGACATATCAACTACTGGGATGGAAATGTCTTGAAGGAACTCAAAGAAATGGGTGATCACTTCTCCGACATTATAGTTCACAAAGGAATAACTTACGTCTTGGATTCAAAGGGCATTGTTTGGTGTATTAATTCAGATCTTGAAATCTCTAGGTACGTAGCTTCACTCAATGAAAACATCACTATTAATGGCTGTTGGGTACACTTGAGATTTGTGGAATGTTGTGGAGAGCTTTACGCTGTCGAACGCATCCCCAAAGAGAATCCCCGGAAGAGAAAATGGAATTTATTTCAGTATTCTAAAACGGCCGGTTTCAAGGTTTACAAGATGGATGTGGATTTAGGAAAATGGATAGAAGTGAAGACCTTGGGTGACAATGCATTTGTTATGGCTACCGATACTTGTTTCTCGGTTTTGTCTCATGAGTTTTACGGATGCCTCCCAAACTCTATTTACTTCATTGAGGATTTACGGCCTAAGGTGTTCCAGCTAGACAATGGTAATGGAAGTAGTGTCACCAGCAAGTCGGAATCTTCCGAGAGTTCTTTCCAAATGTTTTTTCCTAGCTTTCTTTGAATCTTGTTTAGGTCAAAGCTATTTTCGTTATAATTAAGAGTACCAATCATCTCTAATAAAAAGCTTACTTTTCATCTTTATAAAGAAAGCAATGCAACATGTTTATGTTAAGAACAACGTAACTAAAATATCTTAAGCACAGTACTTCTGCCATAGCTTCACATATAGATATGAACGACGAGTATGAACGAAGAGTGCCTACTTACACAACAACGGAAATGTGGAAGAACTTCTTTCACACACATGAAACTTTTCGGTGGAAATCAATAAACAGAAAATTTTCATTTCATTATTTTCCATTAATCAAAATACTTCCAATTCTAGAGAGCTTGTAACTCTCTATACCTGAACCAACCAAAACCCTATTGATCAACATTAATCCATCTTTTATCGACTTCTTTGAGGCTTCCCTTTGGATGTGATCATTTGAACAAGTTTGCTTCAGCGACAATTTTAAAAAACATGTGGGAGAAATCAAGAGAGATTTACATGAAAAATAATTTGGTTTCTTCCTCTTAGCTGATAAAACAAAGCAAGGTCGGTTGACGTTCTATAGCTGATTTTGGACATTCTTAAGGAAAACTTTCAAGATGTTGTGCCATACATCTAATGCTCTTAAAGCGGTAAAACGTCTAGACTTAAACCATATATATAATTCTTAACATTAACTAATTAATCATTAACGAGAGATCCCCAATTAATCGGTATAAAAGCTAAAAGTTAATTAAATCCTCTATATAAAAGCTAAAAGCTAACCTAGTCTTAACTTAATTAACTAAGATATAAAAAGCTAAAAAGTCAATATTTAACAACATGCTAAACATCACATTTTTGATACTCACAACTCAGGAAACATTTTGGAGTTTGAAAGAGTTTGATTTTTTTTTTCCAAATCACATGTTTTGAACTAGTGATGTTCAAATTTTATTTCCAAATTTTTATTATTGAACATCGAATTTACTCAAAGTAATTTACAATAATTTACATCACCCGTTATTCTATCAATAATTTATAAGAAATATATCATATTTAGAAGTTAACAATTAATTTTGGTTAAACTCTTAAAAAGATTTTAAGAGACTTTAGATACGTTTTTAAATTTTTAGTTGAAATTATGGATCACAAAACTCACAATTAAGACATAAAACTTGGAGAGATATCAATAATATATAATTGTTTCTCATTAAAATTAAATGAGATATAAAAAAAAATTGTTGACATTTTTGGATCGACAAGGTCCGATTCATAGAAAATTCTTATTATGCGAGGTAATACGACTTAGGAAAATCGAACTCCGGTGGAAAAGATGGAGTCAAATGGATTTAACCACTTGACTAACGACACATCAAAAAAAAACCGCTTTTGAGTTTTTATTACTCAATTTGGCAAAGTCATAACAAGTGCCTACTGCCTACTCCAATCCATTTGGCAAAGTAGGTTATGAAATTACCAAATATACCTTTGATGAAATATAGGATTTACATGTACCTACATGGTACTACATATATAGTCTCACATACGTGTTAAATTATAACGTTAACATAGCTACGTCTTATGCCGGGACACATTGCTTAGACCCTATATTCTTATTTCTAAATATCCTTGTACTTTATCTTCCCGTTTGCTCATGGTGGAGCAAAGGAAGATGAATGGGGCTGCTGCAACTCAAATTAGTTTTTGCTATTGACAATGGCAATGGCTATTCCACAATATATATTAAACTGTCAATATCATTACTCCAACCATCCAGAACTTTCCAAGTTACTGTAAAGAGATGTTTATACACCAATGAGTAAGAAAGTTTCATGAATCAAATCAAAAATATTGAAAAAATCCTTTAGTCGAAGATGGGCCTAGATCCTGTTATTTCAATTCACTAGATCATGCGGCTTTAGTGAATTGAGACCAAAAAGCTATGTTAACTTATCGCAAATAATATTCCAAAAGAAATTTTCATTGTACAAAAGGTTTTTTGGTTGAATACAATTTTACATTCAATTCAAAAAAAAAAAAAAAAAAAAAACAAAAGAAATTTTCTTTTTCAAAAAAAAAACCTAATAAATCTCTTAAATATATGTGGAAGCCCCCTTGGCCCATTGGTTGACCAAGGGTTAATTAATGCTTCTACACCCAGAGGCCTAAGCCCATAAATTATCAATTCTGGTAAAAAATTATTTATACTGCAAATGATATGGAATCCATTAATGGTATAAAATCGAATACAATATGGAATGAATGGAACGTAATCCTTACTATTCTCCATCAATTTAGCAGTAATATTTGGCATTTATAGTTTCAATTCATTCATTTTCATTTTAGGGAATGAGTGAAATTTGTTTATATATTTTTTATTTCTTTAAAAACTAAAACGTTTAAACACAACCATTTGGAGCCATAAGTCTTGTGATTCAAAATCTTATTAGGGTTTTTTTGAAAGTCCAAACGTTCCCCATATATATTATGTGACTCACACACAAACAACCAAAGAAGCCAAAACAGAGAGAAATGGTTGATTGTGATTGGTCTAACTTACCGGAGGAGCTCCTCCGCTTGATCGCCATCCGGTTATTCTCCGTCGTCGAACTCAAACGTTTCCGAAGCATCTGCACATCTTGGCGCTCATCCATTTCGGGCACCGACGAAAATAATCCTTACCCGATCCGCGGTCTCATCCACTTCGATCCTTGCTTGAACACTAAAGGTAGCAATCAAGTCTACACCAGTTTCCGCTTCGTGATCCTCTCACGCGCCGCCTTCTTCCGCGTCACTCCCTCCTCCTCCTCGAGCAAGGGATGGCTGATAAAATCCGACAACACGAAGATTAACACCGGGAAATTCCGTCTCCTCGACCCTTTCTCGCGCCTCGCTCTGCCACATTCTTGCGAGAGCCTCGATCTATTGGAGTTCACTGTCTCGGAGATTCAAGAAACTTATGCGGTTCTTGAAAAATCCAGGGGAAGGACAGCTCGTGAATTCAAGAAAGTTGTTCTTGTAAAAGTCGAGGAAAGAGAACATAAGATTCTTGGAATCAGCAGCGACAAGAATATCAAGTCCTGGACTGGAATAGATTGGAGCAGACTCAAAGAGGCTGATCATCAATTCTCTGATATTATAATCCACAAAGGGAGAACTTACGCCTTGGATTTAAAAGGCGTTGTTTGTTTGATTAGTTCATCTCTTAAAATCATCGAATTCGGACCTTTATTCGATGAAACCATCACAAATGGTTGTTTCATAGAGAAGAGCTTAGTGGAATGTTGTGGAGAGCTTTACATTATCGAGCGCCTCTTTGAAGAGAATTCCCGAAAGCGAAAAGCTGATTCCTCGGATGGTAATGGAAAGAGGAAAACGGTCGGTTTCAAGGTTTACAAGATGGATGAGGAATTAGCGAAATGGAAAGAAGTTAAGTCATTGGGAGACAATGCGTTTGTGATGGCTACCGATACTTGTTTCTCGGTTTTGGCTCATGAGTTTTACGGATGCCTTCAAAACTCTATTTACTTCACGGACAATGAGGAAAAAGTGGAGAAAGTGATTAAGGTGTTCAAGCTAGACAATGGTAATGGTAGTATCGAGACAATGTCAGAACCTTGCCAGAGTTGTTTCCAAATGTTTGTTCCTAGCTTTCTCTGAATCTTGTTTAGGTCAAAGATACTTTGTTTTTTCTATTAAGAGTACCAAACAATCATCTTCAATAAAACCATAATTTTCATCTTCATTTTCAATATAGACAGTGATTTCTTGTATTTTTACCTTCGAACTTAATCTATGACATGTTTAAAATTCGAAAAAACTTACCTTTTGTCCATTTAGGATTTTTTTTTAAGTACATTTGAGCAGGCTATGTAAGTCTCATTGATTCTTTTGTATGATATCATCGTAAATGGGTGTCTAGCGACTCTCGCGAACCTCGGGAAGATAAAAAAGAAGAGCCAACATGTTCTTGCCTCTGAACTTGATCTAAGACATGGTTTCATTTCCTCCAATGAGGACTAAATCTACCTTAATGTCTTTGTCATGTACGTTTTAAAGATTTCATCTGTGCAAATTCCTGCTTAGAGGTCCCAACAGACACTTACTTAGAAAGTGGTATATAGAATGCAAATTCTGTATCAGTTTTGAATCAAATTAGTATGTGTTTATATGGCTACATTAGTGTCAGGTTAAGTTCAAGTTGTTTGGCTCGTTCTTCAACTTTGGTTCTCTTTCAAACATGGTTCGGACATTGAAGAAGTACTAAAAGTAAGAAGAGAAGAAAAGAGCAGTTGTAAGCATAAAACCAAATAATTCATTCAATCTTCTTTTTACATATTTGAGTAGAAAGAAATAACAACCAATTTAAGATAGAGGAGGACCTAAAAAGCCAATTAAAACTAGACATAAACGTAGAAAATTAAAAACCAAACTCTAAAAAACCAAATTAAAAAAAAAAAAAGAGAACTAAGAAGCGTTTAAGAGGGAATCAACCTTCAAGTTGGCCGCGGTGGACAAGAACTTCATGCAAATAGGAGGCTTAACACCAGCCAAGGCAAGTATAGAGCTTGGTAACGTCCAAATACCTTCACCGCAGATCAAACCCGAAGCAACGGCCGAAGAGTACGCATCGGCCTTTGGTTTATTCAGCTTCCTCCAGATGAACAATATGAGACTTCCCACACACATATCGATTGTGAAGTAACCTCCTATGTAGAATGGTATAGCCATAGCCATCGGGAGGGGGATAAACCGAGCCCACTTTGGCCCCACGGCATCCCTTACACCGTTGACGATCACTGCTGCTGCGAAGAATATGTAGCAGAGCATGAGACAGTGTTTGGGCAAAGCAGAGAATCCTTCTACTCCGAGTATCGACATGTTTCTGTAGACTAAGGCGTAGGGAGCAGGATAGGCGGTCCCGGTTTGGCCAAAGTCGGGGAAAGCTTTGTAGAATAGCCAGAAGACGCAAGGAGAGATCACACAGCCCATGGCGGTTCCAATCGCTTGGCTCAAGAACATTGATCTCGGTGAGGCTAATGTCATGTAACCTGTTTTGAAATCTTGCATAAGATCAGAAGCTGTTGAGACAATGTTCATCATGACACCACAAGCTGCAAGTCCAGCTAAGACGCCTCCATTGGCTGCACCAGCCCAGGCTCCGATGGTGAAAATTGCGAGTTTTCCATAAGTGGAAGCTAAGGACCAGTCAGTGAGTCCGCAACCGTAGGCGTTGCAAAAGGCTAAGACAGGGGCGATTATGTACATGGTCAAAATGTGGTACCATTTGAGCTGATGGAAGATGTGTGGAACGGTGATGATTGAGACTATAGCCATGACTACGTAACCAGTTACAGCAAACCATGATGGGATTCTGTCTTTGAGGAAAAGCTCTGTTCTTCTTTTGTCGTCGTAAGAAATGGTTACAGTGGCTGGTGATGAACGGTCGTTGACAGGAAGAACATCTTTGTTCTTGAATTGCTTGTATAGACCGAAGACAGTGCGGCCTAAAACTTTGATGAAGTTGTAGAGACCATCACCGAGGATCATAGCTATGGCTATAAACACCTGAGAGCATCAAACACAATTCAAGATTGTAAATCTTTATCAAATGAAATAAAGGAAGGAATAGATACATAGAGAGAGAGAGAGAGACAGTACCTTGTAGCCTTGAAGACCATGGAGACTGCTTGAACTAAGATCAGCAGAATACCATTTGCCTTTTTGGGCACCAATGAGAGGCCACATAACACCCCATGAGAGAATTGATCCGATGAGAAGAGATACATTGATAAGATAAGGGCAAATCATTCCAACACCAACATATGTAGCAGAGAAATCAAAGTAGAACTTGTTTTCATAGGCTTTGAGACCAAATGTAGGGAAGTTAGCGAAACCACAATCGTCACCAGAAGTAAAGAACCATTGAAAGAAACCCCACAAGAAACTGAATGAAAAGAACTTCCCCAATGCTCTGACTTGCTTCCTGTGTTATACATTGAGACGAAAGGGATCAATATTCAGACCAGACACAAGAAAGATTCAGGGCATGATGAAGATTCTTACTTTGCGAGTTTGGCACCTTGAGGTGTGTGGAAGCTGTTAATGAGATGGGCAGTGGCAGTACCACTAGGATATGTCAATTTGAAGTCGACAATCATGATCTTTCGAAGAGGAACCACAGAGAAAAGACCAAGAAAGCTAACAACAAAGAGAAATCCAATCATCCAACCCAAATGAGGATTCTTTATGTTCATTGGAGTATTAGCTTCCGCAGATTGTTTAGCAACAATATCACTCATTCCAAACAGATAACTACCAAACCCACCTGTTCAAATTCAAACACAATCATTAAGCCAACCGAATGGATCTTCATCAATTATAAACAAATTATTAACATATTGGAAACAAATTGCATTCATATACTAAAACTAGTTATGGTTATGCAACACAAAACATTATTAAGCTAGGTATTGAATATTGGGAACATGTTAGATATGAATTGATTCATTTAATTTAATTAAAAACAAAACCAAAAATCTAATCATAACAAAAAAAAAAAAAAATTAGGTCATGTGCCAATTCTAGGTTCCCATTTGACACACATGGTGGGCATAACAAGTCAACTCTTATTAAATAATTTAAAGTCAGATCTCTAAGTGAACGAATCACGTGAGAGAGTCAAAAATAGTGGTTTCCTTGATAATGTAATCTCCATGCATTAAGTATAGTATTGTGTTCACATGAGTGGTGATGTCTGTATCAGTCTCGAAAACAGGTCAAATATTAAATTTTCCAAGCAAGACAATAAGTTTATTTAAAGTTACGAAAATTAGCAATTATTCTCTAAAAATATTGTGATTTCTCACTTTATTTATTATCAAAAGAATTACCAAATTCTATCCATGCAAGTGAAAACTCAAAAGATAGTGGAATTAATTAATTATTTTATAGTATATATGTAAATCTCTAAACTTATAAACTAATTTTAGTTTACTATAAATAAAAAAATTAAACTTCCTAGTTAAGTGCCGTAATCCTATGCTAAAACATCATTGACTTAGACCTAAATACGAATCTCACGCGTCATGTTCTCTATCAACTTGCCGTGAAAATATGGGTTCTTATGATATCACAAAAAAAGTCATACACATTGCTCTCGGATATGAATCTCACGTCACTAATCAACTTGATTTTGACATTTTTTATTCACAACATCTAATTCAAAAAAACTAGGAAATTATAAAGCTATTTTATATAAAATAATCAAAAAGGATCGTGTGATTTTTGTTTCCTTTGTTTTACATTTATTTTTGTCTAATATAAATTTAGTTTCATAGTCTAACTAAAATGTTTGCAAAAAATTTAGATAATTTTATGCAATTTTATATTGGATAGTTATGTTAATTCTATGCATATTTCAACCTAACAATTTTTTTTTAACATCTATCAACCTAATAATTATTTCTCTGTTTCTCTGTAACCTATATATCCTTCTTCTTTTTTTTTACTTTTTTCGTTTAATTAAAATTTAGTTTTATTAGCTGAGGATAAGAAGCTAGGAAGATATAAAGTTAAAACGCAAAAAGAATGCATAAAATTAAGTAATATAAGAAAATAAAAATAAAAATAAGCAAAATTAGATAATTTTATGAAATTTCTAGTATTGAATAATTATGTTATTCTATGCATATATCAACCTAATATTTAATTATATGAATTTTATACCGGATAAATTACATTAATTCTATAAATATAACAACTTAATAACTACAACGCGTTTTTAATTTAAGATAATTCTGTTAATTCTCTGAATATATAATCAATCTAACGATAGAAACAGCTAACCAAATCTAACCCGTGATAATCATTAGATTAAATCTATTAATTTGTTTAATCACAAACCGTTAAAAAGAATATACTACTAGATTACAAAATATATATTTTTTATTTTTATAAAGCGATAAACTCAAAATATATACTCTGTCCTTTTCCATAGAAAGGACCCAGCAAAAAGTTTTAGCCGTAAATGGAAACAAAATTAAAGACGGCGTCTAATTCCATCTACGCTTTCACATCAATTAAAAAAAACTTCAAAACTACTTTTTTTTGTTAAAAGTATTAAAAAAAAAAATCACTGATTCATCAAAAACACAAAAAAAAAAAAAAAAAATCAATTTCACTGATTCATCAATGGATTTGAGAGAGAAAAAAAAAACGTACCGCTAAAAGCGATGCCGGAGGAAGCGACGACACAAGTCTGAATAACGGTGTTTTCTTGACGAGTAAACGGTTGTTTAAGAAAACCAGCTTTATTAAGAATCTTAGTCCAACTTTTAACAAAGAAGAAACCAAGTAAACCGGCGGAGATATTAAGCGACGGAATAATCCCAGTCGTTAGATTCAGTTTCATCACCACAAACGTGAACAGAATCGCGAGTATAAAACTCACGATTAGAGCTCTAAACGTGAGCTGTTTTTGCCACGGTGGTGGGATTTCGTGACTCGCTTCGAAGATTCTTTCGACGGAGATTTCTTCTTCTCCTTCGTTGGATTTAGATCCATTGAGATCGTCGTCTTTTTTGGATCGTTGTTCTACTTCCATGGCTTGTTGATTGAATGAATCAGATCTGAATTGTGTGAGGGGAGAGAGATTTTATAGAGGAGAGAATCTGAAGAGAAGAGAGCGGCGAGAGAAGAGGAATAAAAAGCTGGCGATTTTCTTATAACTGAATGATTCTATTGTTACTATATTTATAAGTCAAATTTGTGTGTGTGTGTTTTTTTTTTTAATTAATCTACGTGTACGTGGACTATGTTGTGGTGTGTGTACACACAGTGTAAATCCGATTTTTTTTTTTTTTAGAGTTAATTAAATTGATACATAAATGGATTTTTGGAGTAATCTTTTATTATGAAAAATGTCGTTTGAAAATTTGATTTCAAACTAATATCGTTTTAAATTTTAAAGGCATGTCAAAAACATATAGGCCGTGTTCTTTTGTGAATCGCTGTGACTAATACTAACGACCAAAAATATAAAGGAAAAAACAAAGAAAAGAGGTGAGAGAAGTAAAAGACTCGCTGCGACAGATCTGAATCGAGAGAAAAATGAGAAACTTGAATCGTTAGAATTTCTGGCATCTTCAAATATCATTGAATTACAATCGCTGCGATAGAGATGAAAGAAAGGAAAAGGGGAGGTGAAAGAGAGGTGAAAGCTTTTTTTTTAATCACTCTTACCTTTCGCTACGTCTCTTCACCGAACAACCTAATAATTGTTCATATATAGTGAGTTATACTTTTAATTTTGGAGGAGTAACCAACAGTTTTTATGAGTTAAGGATAAAATTACAAAAAATATCACTTTTGCAACAAATAATATATTATATGTATTTTTCTTCTTAGAATATTATATGAGTGTAGGATATTATCATTACAAATGTCTTTAAATATGAAAAATGTACGATATTATCGAGCATAATGGTTACATTCTACATAAACTATCACGAAATCATATGCACATTTACTCAAATAAACTGCATTTGTTATCTAAGTTTTGCATTTACTCAGGCCAAGCTATTTAAATTATCAGATTTCTTTTCTTTCCTTTGCAAAGATTATTATACAATATCTAATTACCAAATATATGGACAACAAAGAAGAAAATAGTAAAACATTTAAAGTAGTGGAAACAGAAAACATGTCTGAAAAAATCCAGTGATTATATTGCATGTTATGAAACCATTGTTCTTGATGCATGACCATATACGAAATGTATCTATGATCTCACTTGAACTCTAGCTTCTCTCTTATTCTTCTTTCATTTCTCTTTCCATATCTTCAAAACCATGCATATCGCCTTCTCTTCCCTATTCCATTTAACAATTTGCATATGGGAGATACAAAATCTTTAAGTTTAATGTTAATTGTCATTGAAAGAGAGAGAGAGAAACTCAATAAGTTATCAAGAAAATTTGAATCCTTTATATACTGCCATTAAAAAAAAACAATTGTCTTATTTTTTACATGTTTTGTTTAATAAGAAAAAAAGAATACACTATATGTGCTACATTCTTATAGTTATAGTATAATAATTTTAGATCTTTTTCTATTTATAATTATTAGTTGTTAATAGAATATATTGCGTGTTACTTTTTTGTATATCAATTAAGATTGAAGTATTTGGTTTATTATTTTCTAACCAAATCCGTTCTTTTCCCTCAAGAACTTATTGATTTTCTCTCTTTCTATAGAAATTGACAGTAAAATTTTGTTGTATCTCCCACATACATATTATAGATTGAACGGAGAAGAGGAAACCATATGGTATTGAAGAATGGGAAAGAAGAGTGGAAAACAAAAACACGGAGAAAACTTAAAATTCGAGTGAATCAAGAGATACATTTGGTACCTGGTCTGCAACAAGAACAATTTTGATATTTTATAAAATACAATATGATCATTAACCTGATTCGGATAGGTTTTGTTGCTCCATGTTTTAAATGTGTTTTGCTGTTTTCTTTATGATTGTTTAGTTAAAATAATACTCTGAAAAAAGAAATAGAAATCATTTTAATAGCGGAGATTTTAAAAGACGGGGTGATTTCCATTGTGAGTAGTTTCATCAAGATAAATTTAAAATATACCGAGAAAATAAGAACTCACAATCAAGGCTCTAAACATAAGCTAGCTGGTTTTTGCCATGGCGAATGAACCTTATGGCTCGCCTCGAAGATCCATCCCTTGCCGTGGCATTGAGATCATCGTGTTCTTCCTACATCGCTCCATAACCGCTGCTAAATTGGATCTATGCTAGCTCTTTGTTTCCTAAAGATGAGAGATTTATTTTCAATAAAGAAAAAATATGAACAAAATAAATAAAAATTGGAATATTTGAAAGTGTCATATTGTGATTCTATTGTATGTGAGAGAGAACGAATCTGTTTCACATTATATACTAGATAGATTTTTTTTTTAGATTATCTAATGATAGTAATCTACACGTATTAGGTAAAAAATCTTGGCTAATAATATTGACTAATAAATATAAAATGTGAAAGTTTCACTAAAAACATATACTAAATTATAATTGGAAACATATTTACACTCTCTCACTCACAAAATAAATACAATATGTTTCACATAATATATTTATTATATGTAATTTAGTCAAACTTTCACATTTTATATTTATTGGTCAATATTATTAGCCAAGATTTCTTACCTATTACGTGTAGATTATTATAGCTAGAGAATCTAAATGAAAAATCTATTTAGTAATGTGAAACAGATTCACTCTCTCTCTCTCTCTCTCACACACATAAAATAGAATCACAACACGGAACTTTTGAATATTCCAATTTTTATTGATTTAGTTCAGATTTTCTCTTTATTTAAAATAAACATCTCTTCTCTTGAAAATAGATCTAGATTTATGGATCGATCCATATTATTAACTTTATGGATTTTGGAATCAGGTCAATTCTGACGGATCGTAGATTGCATTGAATATTTGATATTATATATATATATATATATATTATTTGTATTTTCTTGAAAATATTTGAAATCTCTAATTTGATGGGATAAATTCCTCACACTTTCTTATAGAACATAATCGGCATATGCACAATTCTTTTGTTCAAAAATTGTAGCTGAAATGAGAATAAAATAAAATTTTATGAGATTTAATCGAACATTTGAAAACTATGAAATCGAATGAACATACACATTGTGAATATTTGATCGAGTTTGAGATCTCCTCGTCCATATAATCAATATCTCTCACAACATTTAATGAAACATAAACATCTTGTTTGAGATTTTTTTTCTTCTAAAATATGTGTTTGCAATGAAAATTGAAATAAGAAATTTTGAGATTTATTCAAATATTTGGGTAACTCTTATGCAGTCTAATGAACATACCTTTTGTAAATTCTTAGCAGAATTTTTGATCTCCTATTTGAAGTAGTCTGCTCTCACAGAATATAATCTGCACATGAATGTTTGTTCTAAATTTCTGGGAGGAAGTGAAAAGGAACAGAACATGGGATTTATTCATATATTTGAAAACATTGACATAAAAATGAATGAGCATACCTTTTGCTAAATGTTTAAGAGAATTCGATATTTTATGTGATATAATCAAAATCTCACAAAAAATGGTTTATAGAAATTTATCGCCTTATTGTAAGAAAAAAATTTGTTCGTAGGCGGCGGCTGAAATGAAAATGAAAAATAATTTTTTAGATTTTGAAAAATTTATATAGAGTTAAGCTTAACCTAGATGACTAACAAATTAAAACGCATTGAATAACGTCGTATAGACTATTTGATATATTGAAGCTAATAACAGGCTCAATCGTTATTAAAACATTAGGCCTTATAATGTTCTATAAAAGCTCAAATTTTATAGGAATGTTTTTATTAATTCTACGATTTTATAAAATTTGGACTCTTAAGTAAGGAAATTTTGCAAACAAATTATGGACCATATGTATTTGTACGTTAGGCACATTCGATGGTTAAAAAGCCCATAAATATATAGTGTTCAATTTTCAGCATAAATAAATTTTCAAACAAAGAAATGTATAAAATCACGTTTTGATTATTTAGGGTAGATGTTTACTTAATGAGTGTGGATCATCATGATTCTATATACTATGAATCTAATTTGGATAGAAAGGATCTATAATTTAATTTTTGTTTATATTAGATAGTTTAACAAAAATGAGAGCAAATTTTAAGATTTTAGAAAATTAGGGATCTATTTTGTAATAAACACTTTTTTGGGTTTTTTATACATGTGATAGATAAAACCTTTTAAACATCTTAGGCCCAACTTTCACCTTGCTCGATTAGTATTTAGCTTTGAATGCATCATTAACTTGCTTAGAATAACTAAAAATTTTAAGCAATGATTATATGTGAGGTGGGTTCCGACTATTCACATGATACACAAAATATTTGTGGTATTAGAACTTGTATAACTTGGACAAAATCGATATCAATTAACAATTAACCACACCAAAAAATTAGGTAAATAGAGAAATAAATCTATTGTTTGCTAATGTGAGTATGTCTATGTGAGGAATAATGAAATCTAGACTTAATGCATTTTAGATAATCCATGGTAATGCCTATAGTTGAGGATTTAAATTTCTAATAAAATAGTAAAGGATTTAATTAGCCCAAATAAATAGTTGAGGATTTAAATCAAATAAAATTTAAAAGGGACCTATATGATCAAATACAAAACTAGAGGGGTACTTTTCATAATAACATGAAACTTCAAAAAGATCTTCTTAATCTTCTTCGTTCACCGAATCTTCTTAGGTTAGGTTTGTCTTCAAAATCAGAAGTCGAAGAAAAAGACAAAGACGATAACAATGGCGTCATCATCATCACCATCCTCTTACCTCCGATTTGCGATCGCCGTCATAGCTCTTCTCTCAATCACCACCATCTCCGTCGCACGTCCTTGCAAAACCTTCCTCATCTCCTCATATTCCCTCTCAATAACCCCAGAAAACCCTAACCTCGAATCCGATTTCACCTCCACTCGATTCGTCACCGTTTTCACAATCCGTCGTCTCAATCCTCACCACATCGTTCCTTTCTTCGTCAATCGTCGTCACGAGACGCCACAGATCCAATCGGATCGTTCTCTCCCTTTGATCTCTGAGAATATCAATTCGTTTAGAGATCGAACGAGAGATATTCTAAGCGTCGTCGTCGCTCTGTTGTTCGGTGTTGGTTGTGGTGCTTTAACCGCTGCTACTATGTATCTTGTTTGGGCTCTTGTTGTGAATCGTCAGAGCTATGATTTTGATGAAGAAGATGATTATGAGAATGATGAATCTGATGCTGCTAGCTTGAAGAAATTGGGTTATGTTAAGATTCCAGCTCCAGCTCCGGTGAAGGAATCTGCTTGATTTGAGGTTGTGAATTCTCAGATTCTGCTTAATCATCTCATCATGATTTACGTTGTTATATGTTGTCTATGTTGCATCTACTTGATGGATTTATCTAAACCTAATATACTTAAGTATCATTGCTTTATGATTTGTAGTGGATGTTTGTTATATAAGTGTGATTATGAATGTTCGTTTTTATATGTTTATGGATGTATTCACTATTGTTGACACCAATGTGATTAGTTTATGAGCTTAATGGTTTAATCGTAGACGGAATCGAGGTCGATAAGCGGTGTTTCTGACTTGCGAGAACCTAAACTTGGTTGCAGGATTGTGTGGTTTAATAGCTTTCAAGCATTGTAAACTCCAGGGAGTGGTCTAGTTTTTGTTCTGTTTCTTGTTATCTTACGAACTAGCTAGTAGCGAGACCGATTAAGTAGGTTGCAGGATACGTGGATGATTCTCAATGATTACGATCTCTTGATTGCATAGCTTTCAAAGCATTGGGAGTGTTTAGTTTCTATTGCTTATGGTCATCTTTGTGTATGAATATAGCTTAAAGCTTGATGTTTAAAAATGCAGAGGAACAATGAGGTTCCTTATTTTTCTTTCTGGATCGATCCTTTGAACTTTTGGTTCTTCGTTTTGCTCTAGTCTAGCAGTGATTTGCCTAGTAACAATCTTTTGTTATCTTCTGTTTGTTTCTTCTAGTCCCTTGCTGTATATAAATTTGATTTGAGGTTGTTTCATGCATGTCAAATCTAGTCCCTATTGTTCTTGGTATAGATTTTCTTTATGTCAACACAAAAGCTTCAAGTTTTGCTTTCAAAATATACTCTTTTCTTATTTTTTCATAAAAGCTATTGACATCATTTGATTATGTGAACAAAGTTAGATTTACTTATTAGTCCCCTATCAATTCATTCGAATGTGTTGTGTGGCATCATACCTTAAAAGAAGAGTCATGATAACAATGAGTTAAACTAATAAACAAGGATGTTACGTTTAAGACTATGGGTCAATACAGAGCCTGGAAGATTCCAACACCCAACTTGCAAATGATACATTCATACAAATCGTCCAAATGAGAGAAGTAGAAGAAACATGTAGAAGAGATAATTTGGTTTGCCTAGAAATGGTACAGGTTCTGTGGGAAGGATCCGTTGCTGCCTTCGCCAGGCTCACCCATTTTCTGCACATCTTCCGGCGATAGTATCTTTATGTACCAAATGCTATTCACAAATGACCTGCAAATTTCACCAAATCAGTTACAGTTTTTTGTAATTCCAAATCTTATCTGCGATTAGAAAATAGTGTACTAACTACCAAAGATTGTCGCCGAGAAGAAGAATATCATCCTCCTTGTACTTGTCCACGAATACAAGCTGCAGCCTGATCTAAAGGCGTCTTCCAACAACCCTTTGATATCAAACATTTTACCCAACGCTTCTCTCAGCTCATGATAGCTGCTGAACTGAGAGATGTCGAGTGAATGAAGCAGTTTCCGTCACTGTCTAAGCTTTCGAAGAGAACGAGAGAGATAGGTAAGAGAGAGACAAAGAGATTTCACGTTTTATAAGGGACCCGGGTCAACCCGACTGGAGCCGGGTGAGAAGAGAAGAGTGTAGAGGGGACCTATTGACCACAATTATGGTGTTAGAGTCAGTACTGTACCAAGTCACCTCCTTATCTTCTTCACCTCCCTGGCTCCCTCTAATATTATTGTTTCCTTAATACAACATCTATTCATATTTTGTTAGTTGTTTGGCCCATAAAGCCCATTTGCAAATCTTGTTTGCATGTAGAGTCAAAACATGTAGTTCTATTAGTATGCGTAAAAAAACAGAAAGAAATTTATGTTGATTTTGATGAAAGCAAATTGTTTAACACTAGAGAAAACTTGTATTGATTAATAGAGAGACGAGAAGAGATTTTCCCAATCACACAATTTTTTATAGTGTTGATGTAGTTTTATTTTTTTGTGTAAATAAGTCTCAAATGTTTCTGTATCCTAGTCACACGAAGAACTAAATGTAGGGGTCATCTAACACCACTTGAATTTATCTTGAATTAGGTTCGATTCGTTTGCAATTCGCCTTAGTTAGATATTTGATATGTGTTAAGTGATTATTTTAACACATTTCATTGGTCTTTCTAATGTATATTATTGAGTCTTTTAATCAAGAACATATAGTTCTCTATGTGTTTTAGTATTTTTAGGTTTCTAGACCTGCTGGAATCAAAATAGGTATTTTGGGAGAGAAATGATGCAAAATGAATCAATTGAAAAAAAGAGGAGTTTCTAGTTGATTATAGATGCAGAGCTGCAGAGAAGCGCCAGAAATTTGGCTTCCGATGGAGGACTATCCACCAATAGATCTTCCTCATTTTTGGGCTCAATATAGATACGGATGTTAGCTTTCATCTTCAAGTGTGGTCGAGGAAATCCAACGGTCCGATCAGAAGTTATGACGACTCTACCGATCGGTGACAGCCTAGAACCGATCGGTGCCGAAGGCCCATTAACAACCGATCGGTTGGGCCCATAAACGATCGGTGGGCTGTCATTAAACCATTTGTTTTCTACTTTAGGGCACGTCTCTCTTCTATATAAATACCCCATGTATTTTAGCCGCTGAGGCATGTAATTTACTACGATTTTCTAAATCTAAATAGTTTTATTTTTTTCTTTATCTTTTCTTTATTGTTTTTTTTTTTTGATCAAAATCTTTTCTTTATTGTTTATGCTTTAGAATTCAGATCTCTTTGGTAGATCTCCTTTAGTACTCACGATCCCTACTCTACAATGATCATATGTACCTTGGTCATGTGTGAGTAGTCTTATCATGGAGTACTACCGATCAGTAAGGCATGATCCCATTCCCACCAATCGGTACTGTTCGATTTCGTCAACGGTTGGGAATCCCCATAGAGATCCAAGTATTTTACTGGCCTAAAGTATAGGTTCTCAGTCATGTTTTCTATTTGTTCCCCGCCTTTCGATTATTTTTATCGCCTTAGCCTGAATCTACAGTATTCTCTTATTGCCCACAATCTTGTTTAGCATAGCCATGGTATTGGACGAGGTGGATCTATCTAAAGAAAGGTAAAACATTTTTACGAGCCATACCCAGTGCAGTTATTAGTTTTGTAGAATTTATTAGATTCTGTTCTAAAATGCGTGATTAGGTTTTCTTTCATAAGAATCGAGCATTGTCGAAACTGATGGAAGCACGAAATCCCATCATAGAATTATCACTTAGCCATAGGATAATTAACGATAGAAATCTGATTTCAGGATCACTTAGAATCTTAACATATCATACACGTCTAAAATACACTCTCATGAGTTCTCTAATATTCAATTTCTTATATTATATTATATTATTTATTTTTATTATGTATTTTATTTTATTTTTGCAAAACCGTCTTGAGTTCTTGTAATTCTTTTTTTATCCTAACTTAGTTTAAGTGTTTGCAAGTTTTTGTGTGTGTTTTTTGGTCCTTGTGGATTCTATCCCTAAATACTACTGCGATTGCCTGTGTACTTGCAGTCTATATTACGGGTAAAATTTTATAGGTAATTTTACACGTGACAGTATGTTTGTTGTCTTGTGATTAGTCTAGGAGAAGAAAAATTCCCTACACGGAGGCTTGTTTCACTTAGGGATCGTTCAGATTCTAAAGGAGAACACATCATTATAGGATTGACGCCCATAGGAACCTTGCGTTGGTCCACTATATTTTCTTAACTACCAAGAAAAACCAAGAAGAGGAAGAACTTGATGATTATGTAAACGACCCAGACTACACACCCTATGATGCTTCAGGTATGGTTCCTTGTTAATGAATGAATAAATAGTGCTTTTTGTGCTTTTCTTGGGCGAGAAGACTCTATGACATTCTGAACTTTTCTTAGGTTTTGAAGATAATGACCAAATTAATGGTTTTGAGTTTGTTTAGATACAGAGCAAGCCTAATCTTTTGATTAAAAACTATTTCTAAAGAAATTTAAAACTTCTAAAAAGAAAAAAAATTTAATACATACATATAGAAAACTAAAATGTATATGAAAATATATATCATTTCTTTTTTAGTATTTTAGTTAATTCTGATAAATAAAAAAAGAAATTTATTTTTGGATCCTCCAATGAACATATGATGATATGAAGACTTTGCATATCACCATCAGTTTGTTCATTAATTAATATTTGATGAAAACACTCGATTAACAACAAATATCACTACACTAAAACTCAGTAATTATTTGTACGTACATACACAAAATTTGTATCAAATAGATTCGATAGAAACTACTACATTTTTTTTTTTTGTGCACAGAAACAACTACTGTTTATTTAGTCATATCCTAATTTATAACATCATAGTTGTTTGAAGAGATTCTTTTGATAACCTAACAAAACCATCAAACATGCAAATAGCCGTTGAAACTCTAAAACCTTATTAAAAGAATTTTGCTTTGAAAAAGGGAAAAAAGGTCAGATATACTAAGACATTGACTGCAGTGTATAACGGCTCCAATTTCAAAATTACTATCTTTACTAAAATAAATTAATTTCAGTTTGACCCCAATCTTCTTAAAATCTTTCAATCTCACCCCACTTTTATAATTTGAGAAAGTAAAGGACCAAATTCGAATATTTTCTGAAATAAAAGGACTTATGTCTGTCACAAATCGCATTACCAAACAAAAAAGTAATATTCTCAAAAATTTTTGAAGTTTTGAATCTTTTTGTCTTTTTGCACAAAAACATTCCCCTAAAAACTCTCTGGTTCTTGACTCACTTCTACTTCAAAATCTCTCTGTTCCTCCAAATTCTTTAGCACAAAATGGGTTGCTGTCTCAGCAAGAAACCTTCTCCTTCTCCTCTTCCCTCTAATGTCAGTTCTTGTTCTGTTAAACCCTCAGATCCCATCAAACCAGTGATTAAGCTTTTGGAAGAAGAAGCAAAACCCAAATCTGAGAAACTGAATCAAGAAGAAGTGATAAAACACAGAAGAAGTCATGAAGAGAGATCCAAGAAGACAGAATCAGATAAAGATTCTTCAGTTTCTTCTCCGGTGGCTGAGAAATCGAATTCTACACCGGTTGTGAGAATCTCGAGCTGTACTAAAGAAGAAGTTGATGCTATATTGATACAATGTGGGAAGCTAAGTAGAAGCAACTCTGCTGCTAAAACAAGAAGATACTCTGGTTCTAAGAGAAGTTTTGATTTTGACCAGAACGAGAGAATCCGCGGCGGCGATGCGGAGGAGGAAGACGGAATGCAGCGGAATCGTCACCGTGGAGTAGAGAGAGTTAATGGTTCGCCACGAGAACGGAGAAGACGAACTCCAAGTAGAGAAAGGGAAGATTTAAAGAGTTATCGATCGGGAAGCAGAGAAAGAGGAAACAACGGCGGTGGTGGTGGTAGGCGAGTGAGTAGATCTCCGGCGAAACGATCAGAGGTTCCAAACGCTAATTCGTGTGGCAGTTCGGTTAATTCGAGCAATAATAGACCGGGAAAGTTTGTTACGATTCCGGCAACGGATAAGAGTAACAATGTAGAGCCGTTGGTGAAACGGATTACGGTTAAGAGAAACATCGGAGACGCTTGTAGAATCGCAGCATCTCCAAGATCAAAGTCTTCGGCAAGAGCGGGGAATAATGTTCCCTCGCTAAGCCGGAGTAATTCAAGAAAGGCGGAACAATCACCGTATAGAAGAAATCCATTGGGAGAGATTGATCAAAACTCGTCGAAAATTGGATCTTGTAACACCAAGAAGATGATAGAATCTGTGAAACCTAATTCAAGAACAAGTAGAGGTCCAAGCCCGAGTCGTGCCGCAGTTGTAGAACTTACGAAACCTCCTCAAGATGTATTAAGCAGAAGCAGATCGTTAAGGAAATCGCGAGATTTCGATTTGGTATCAAACGAAGATAACAATTACACTGCATTGTTGTTGAAAGATATTCAGAATTTTCATGGGAAGAGTGTCGATGATAACGCGATTTCGCTGCCATTATGTGTGACTAAAGCTTGTTCCATTGTTGAAGCAGTGGCTGATCTTAACTCTATGACCAACAACACTTGTTTGAGCTCTGATTCGAGCCGGTTTCGGTTCACATCGACTGCGAAGAAAGCGGATCTTATGGAACCAAGTTTTGAGAAGTATGTGACTGTGAAGAGAGGTGGTTCGTTGGAAGAATCATCTGGTAGCAACAATGTTACATGACTAGAGATTTACTTCGAGCAATAACACAAACTCGTGTTGTTGCGGTTTAATAAGGAGAATTTGTTGTTTTGCTTGTCTATTGTTATTGTTGTTTCGAAAGTTGGTTTATTTTGTATTCACTTTGTCAATTTCAATGAATCTTCTTCTCTTCTTCACTTGGTCGTAGGCACGGGTATAAAACCCGAAAACTGAACCGGAATCAGACCGAAAAATCCGTTCTAAAACTAAACGAATATTTATAAAACCCAAACGCATTTTAAAATAGGTCTACCGGAATTATCCGAACCAAACCTAAACCGAACAATATATCTAAATAACGGCAAATCCGTAGTTGTATTTGTCAAAATTATACAATTTTTGCAAAATTGAACCAATTTTTATTAAAATTGAACAAATTTTTTGTTTTTTGTTTTTTTTTTTCCAAAAACCGAAACCGAATAGTCATACAACCCGAATGGATACTAAACTTTCCTACCCAAATCCTAAAAACCCCAACCGAATCCAATCGAAAACCCGAATGGTGTCTTAAACGGTTCGGTTCAGGTCAATTTTTTTGGAATTTCGGTTTGGGAAAAATTTGTCGAATTAAACCGGATTAAATGTCGGTTCGGTTTGAGTGTTCTTAAGGTGAATCTAACCTACGCAACTAAGCCAAACACACGCCGGAGAGTTTTCTGAGAACAGTGAGGAAAAGGTTTTTTAGGGTTTTTACCAATCAGAATCTCCGTAAAGGAACGAGTTTTAGATTCGGAAGCAGCAAAGGTTTGAGCTTTTTCTCTCTTTCGTCTTCCTCATACGTTTCTTCTGAATACCCTTGAAACCCTCCGATGTGAAATTCATAGGAACCTAAACCAATTTTACATTTGGTTCTTTTCTGATTTGGGTCGAATTACGTTGAAATTAAGTTTTGTTTCTTGTAATTCTGGGTTTATGTTAATTTTGGTGAAATCTCTCATCGAGAGAGATACAAAATCTGTTGATTTTTGTTGTTATCAATAATGCACACCAAGTGTTTGATGAAATTCCTAGTCTAATATTTTTTAGTAATTTCAGGTCATATAGTTCTTTGGACTGCTAACATGGCAACAAATACTGGACTTGAGGATCTTGTCAATCGTAAGTTAGTCTTTTTTTGCCATTAAGCAGGATTCAGAATTGATTTGTTGATGTTCTGTCACATGAATTGTCTAAAAATCTTATCTTTTGACTGTGGTTGCAGAGATTATTTCGGTGATTACAAATGATGGACGCAACATTGTGGTATGTTATACTCTCTTGTGTGTTATTTGGTTTAGAACTCCTTATGTTAAAGAATGTATATTAGTAAAGAGAACATTGTCGATTTTTTTATATTTTTTTTCAGGGAGTTCTTAAAGGTTTTGACCAAGCTACAAATATAATCCTTGATGAATCTCATGAACGCGTGTTTTCCACTAAGGTTAGCCTTCTGATTTTTGTTTTTAAGTAATTCATCTGAACTTTTCGATGTTACCAAATTGAATGGGTGCAAATACATTTTTGTTCAAGTAAATTAGCCAGTGTATGACCTGAAAACCTTGTTGGTTTGTATCCATGAATGGCGATGATGTAGTAGAGTTCTCAATGTCTCCATATAAAACGAGGAAAATAGATGTACTAGCTCAGTAGGATGCTAGTTTAACTTTGGTTTATTGTCAAAGCTTCTTTATTCGTCTGGTGTTGGTCATTAAATTGGTAGTACATTCTTGCTAGTAATGTACATTGCTTGATTTAGTTGTGTAGTGCCATCTTTTCAATGAGGAACAAACACAGTCAGATATTTAAGATAGGCCTTGTCTCTACTTTGTTTGGTGAGAGAATAGTGAATAAAGAAATAATTGGCCTCTGAATGGAAGTATTTAAATCAGATAGTGTGGATACCATTACATATATGGCGATGGAGCTTACACGGTAACAGATTTAGTGTTGATATTCTTCAAATGTTATAACTGAATGAAAAATATTGTGAGTTCACTTGTCAAAAGCTTTAGCTAGTGCTAGGTGAGTCAAATATATATTGGCAGTGTGTATACATGATCACCTTTTGTTTTCACAAGAAGCTTAAAGGTTTGATTCATGTCTGTTTTCTTGTTTGCGCTAAGAGTATGTCAGGTCATGTTGATACTTCATTAGACCAATGTTATTGGAGGTTTTTGGTGTGAAGGCAGCAGAATTCTGTTAAAATGATGGATATTGGAATTAGGATTGAGACCTCTTACTGTCTTCATCTTTTCAGGAAGGAGTACAACAACATGTGTTGGGTTTGTACATTATCAGAGGCGACAACATGTAAATCTTATCCTCCAGCATCAGTGATTTTCTAACACTGCAATTGTTTTGTTTTTTTTTGTTTTATTAAAAGTTTTGTGTCATCTTTGATCAGAGGTGTTATCGGGGAGCTGGACGAGGAGCTTGATGCTGGTCTGGATTTGTCAAAGCTGAGAGCTCATCCGTTGAAACCCGTCGTTCATTGATTGAAAATAGTTATGGTGAGAAAGCCTAATTCTCATTCAAAGCCTTAAAAACAAAGAGAAAATTTCATTGTAAACAATTTGGATAGTTTGTTTTGATGTCTGGACATGTCTTGTTTGTGTATCCTAAGGACAAAAGCTATATGATATTTATATCTTAACGTTTTTGGTCTGAAAGATCGTCGTTGACTTTTTTTAAGTTTCTCTTTAAGTTTCTGTAGGTTGTATCAAAATAAAATCCAGTTCTTTGATTACAAAAGAAACTTTTATTATTTACCAAATTTATTATACATTCAAATTGCAATTATAAAAAAAAGAAAACGAGGAACTAGTTTCTGGTCGCTCACAAATCACAATGTTGTTGCAATTTCATCTAGAAGGATAAAATATCCATCATCAAATCTATCAACATCAACAAATGGCCGTATTTTAAACTTAGAAGCATCATACATTTTGGGAGATTGACACAAATAGCCCCAAAAAAGTTATTTTTTCCAAAAATAGCACCTCATTTGAAAAGTTCCACAAATAGCACCATAAACTTCAATTAAACCTAAAGAAAATATAAGATAGAAAATAAAAAAGAGAGCAAACACTAATCTAATATTAAATTGAATCAAAATTATTTTTAAATAGTAGAAATATATACCCTAATTTGGAAATAGGGAACCCAAATATAATACCACAAACTAATATTAAAATAAAAATCTCTTTTAAATGGTGAAAATATATACCCTAAATTGGAAATAGAGAACCCAAATATAATACCATAAACTAATATTAAAATGAATCAAAATCTCTTTTAAATGGTGGAAATATATACCCTAAATTGGAAATAGAAAACCCAAATATAATATTTTAAATTTATTTCTAATTTATTTTGTTGAATAGCTTTTATATAAAAGTTGTGGTATTATTGAAAAACAAAGCTAGTGATAAAAATTTTAGAACAAAAACACTAATAGTAAGTTAAGTAGTGCTATTTTTGGAAGTTTATGGAGTGTGTGCTATTATTGTCAATAAAACTTGTTTTAGGACCATTTTTAGGAATTTCTCATACATTTTCTATAAGACAACAATATAAATATTAACTTAAGATGTCATTCTCCCATAGTCCCATCATACAAGTCGTTGGTTTTGGTAATAACTCGTCAAAAGAAAAAACTTATGATTTTCCTTGGAGTCTTGGGTCTTCTTTTACTATTCCAATGTAGTGTTTTTCATATTAAAGTGTTATCAGAAGGTTTTGATATTTAATTCTTTTCTTTTTTGGTATGATGATTTTTAATTCCTAAATGATAATAAAGATTCTGACAAAACATAGGTGCAATCTAGTTGGTTTTTAAATGAAGAACAAAAGAATAGTGTTCTAGAAATTTTCGTTGATAACGATTGATAGTAAACAGAAACACTCAAAATAAATTAATAATCATTGGGGCCTGAGGGATATCGAATGGAATTTTATTTGCAATAATATTAATAAAACAAAAACAAAATTCAGTGGCATGTTAACAAAAAAAAAAAAAATAAAAAATAAACATGACGAAATGCATGAGAACACTACTGCATAAGTCTTAAGGGATTAGGTCAACAAAAGTAGATCTTCATCAAATGTATTTTGACTTTCTAATGTATCTACGAATCAAACTATATACATCTAATTTTAAAAAAACGCTATTTTCTCAAAGACAATTTGATGGTTAAATATGTGAAATTTTATTTTGTAGATTTAAGTAACAATCAAATATGAAAAAAAAATATTCGAGAAAATAGAGAGTAAGAGTTAACATGCATGAAAGAGCAAAAGAGTAAAGAGAAATTATATGAAATAAGAAGAAAGAAATAGCAATTGGAAAATATCTCAAGTGGATTTTCCATCTATATTGCAAGTTCACATACATGAATTACATAAAAAATCTTTGATACCTACCTACTAATGAATTTTTTTATTTGATGGGTTCAAATTCAATTTCCATAAAAGACCGCTACCTAAACACACAAGCAAATTCAGATTACACGTGTGACATGTTGTATGGAAACGAATGTACTCGTTTTTCATTATCTTTATTCCTCAAATAATTAAACAAAATAGGTTATATATAATAAGTCTCTATACGTTGAAAAGTTCTTCCTTATTGACTTTAAAAACTCCACAAGGTCCCTACTTATATTAATTTCCCAAGCGCCTAAGTAAAATCTACAAACAAAGCTTCTTCTTTTTTGGTGTCATCAAGATTCTCCAAAAATGTCTCAACACCAAAAAATCTATCCAGTCCACGATCCAGAAGCCCCAACGGCACGTCCAACGGCTCCTTTGGTTCCTCGTGGTTCCTCAAGATCAGAACATGGAGACCCATCCAAAGTCCCTTTGAACCAACGGCCACAACGGTTCGTACCGTTGGCTCCTCCAAAGAAGAGAAGAAGTTGTTGTTGCAGATGCGTGTGTTACACGTTCTGCTTCCTCTTGCTTCTTGTTGTTGCAGTAGGCGCATCGATTGGTATACTATACCTTGTCTTTAAACCGAAGTTACCGGATTACTCTATTGACCGGTTACAGCTAACCCGGTTTGCATTGAACCAAGACTCGAGTTTGACTACGGCTTTTAACGTGACCATAACCGCTAAGAATCCGAACGAGAAGATTGGAATTTACTATGAAGATGGGAGCAAGATTACTGTGTGGTACATGGAACATCAACTAAGCAATGGTAAGTCACTTTTGGTTTACTCCGATTTGCTTTCTTTTGGTTTCTAAACGTAGGATAGTTTCAAAATCTTAAATCCAAACCGGTTTATTTGGTTGACTCCGGTTATTTTCCTTTGGTTTGGTTCCTATAGGAAGGCTTTAAAACTCTATTCAAGGATTTTCGGTTTATGAATAATAATATCAAAAATAAATTTTATATATTATGGATGGTTTACTTTGGTTCAGATTTGGTTTCATTTTAGATTAGGATTTAGTCAAATATATTTTTATTCATTTTCAAACAAAATTAGGTATATGTAGTTTTTTTGTTGGGTTCATATTCAATATTTCGGATTGAAAAGAGTTAATTCATTTAAATCATATAAATATTATTGTTTTTTCAAATCAATTATTTTGGGTAGAGTTGGATCATACCGATTTATCCGGATTGAACACCCAAAATTAAACGAATTTATTTCTGTTGTCTGGTTTCTTGTTTGATTATAATTGGTTTACAGCTTACCAAACCGGGTCTTCTTATAGATTAAACTTCACTGAACTTTTGTGATTTTTTTTTGAATAGGGTCGTTGCCAAAATTTTACCAAGGCCATGAAAATACGACAGTGATATATGTAGACATGACTGGTCAAACACAAAATGCATTGAGTTTAAGGACGACATTAGAAGAGCAACAACAAAGAACCGGCAATATACCATTGAGAATTAGAGTTAACCAACCGGTTCGGGTTAAATTCGGGAAGTTGAAGCTCTTCGAGGTGAGATTCTTGGTCAGATGTGGTGTATTTGTTGATAGTTTGGCTACAAATAATGTTATTAAGATTCAGAGTAGTAGTTGCAAATTTCGACTTAGGTTATAAATCTGTTTTTTTATTTATAAATTGATATCGACATATAGAGGGAATTTTGTCAGATATAGTACATAGTTCTCCTCTAAACTACATTATTGTGTCTCATACCTTTGTTGTATAATAAAATTACTGATTTTTGTTACAAATAAAGTTGCTTCGTAGATGTTGATATATTTACTTTAATTCCTTATTATTGTGGAGTTGGACTCGGATTTTATACCAATCATCCATAATTTTATACCATGGTCCATCTTGATAGTTTCAATCATTTCATTATTTATAAATAACATGTAACTACAATACTTCATTCATTATTCAATCCATCCACATAAGTCGCTAGGCGATAGCCTTTTGTTTTGTATTTCATTGATTTTTTTTTTAGCACTGTTTGGTGTGAAATACTTGCTCTAAATTTCAATATGCAGCAAAAAATGTGGAAATCCATTGATACAAACTACATAAAGCAGTTAAATAAACAAACAGAACATGTCAAAGCCAAGAGAAGAAATGTGTCTTTGATTTACAAAGTTTATTTAGTAGATACCAAGTCTTGAAAGAAACAAGTCGAAATAAAATTCCAATAGGATAACAAAAACCTTTTTCAGACGAAGAACAAATGGTTCTCAATATATGTGTGCTGCTTGAATATAGCTTCATCCACCACAGACATAGACGAGTCTATATGTAGATTCTAATTTAGGTGTTCTACTTAGATATGTATTATAAATAAATAATTGATCTAAACACATACTAGCTCAGAGATGTTAGATTCTTCTACTATTATTCTACCGTCTGTTTAGGATATAATTAAATTTAATATATCATCTATTTTTAATGATGATTTGACTAATAATATTCTTTTACGTTGTTGGTCTAGCGTGTATCTATTTATATATAGATGTAATAAACAATCCGTTTCCATCTTAACGGTTTTTTTCTAATATGTCGCAAATTCAAAATTAATTTTGTGTAACTTCTAATTTCTCTATAAATATATATCATATCACATAAAACATATAAAACAAAAATGTGGATAATTTCCAACTTCCAAATATTCATCATATCTCTCAATATAGATCTCATAAATATGATTACATTATTGACAAAAATGATTAAAACTATAAATCATATATACTCGGAGATAGATTTCATATTTAATAGAGCAAGGAAGATATTTAGAATGTTAAAAATTTGTCTAAATCTTAACGGATTTTTCTAATATGTCGCAAATTCAAAATTAATTTTTGTATAACTTCTAACTTCTAAATATATATATCAGATAAAAAAAAATGTGGATAATTTTCAACTTCCAAAATCATCATATCTCTCTATATACATCTCATAAATATGATTACATTATGGAAAAAATGATTAAAACTGTAAATCATATATACTCAGGGATATATTTTATATTTAAAAGAGAAGGAAAGATATTTAGAAATGTTAACAATCCGACTAAATCTTAACTGTTTTTTCTAATATGTCGCAATTCAAAATTAATTTTTGTATAACATATGATATCTAAATATATACACATATCATATCACATAAAATATATAAAACAAAAATGTGGATAATTTCTAACTTCCAAATATTCATCATATCTCTCTATATAGATCTCATAAATATGATTACATTATTGACAAAAATGATTAAAACAATAAATCATATATACTTGGGGAAATATTTCATATTTAATAGAGAAATGAAGATATTTAGAATGTTAACAATCCGTCTAAATCTTAACGGTTTTTACTATGATTTACATTATGGTTCATAATGTCCGTGTGCAGGTTGAAAATAGCTTCATCCACCACAGACGTACACGAGTATATATGAAAATTTATGTGTTCTGCTTAGATAAGCATTATAAATAAATAATTGATCTAAACACATACTGACTCAGAGATGTTAGATTTTTCTACTCTTATTCCATCATCTGTTTAGAATATAACTAAATTTCATATATCATCTATTCTTATGGACGATTTGACTAATAATGTTCTTTTACATTGTTGGTTTAGCGAGAATCTATTTATATATAGATGTTATAAACAATCCATCTACATCTTAACGGTTTTTTCTAATACATCGCAAATTCAAAATTAATTTTTGTAATACTTCTAAATATATATATATATATATATATATATATATCATATCACGTAAAACATATAAAACAAAAATGTGGATAATTTCCAACTTCCAAATATTCATCATATATATATATATATATATATATATATATATATATATATATATCTATATAGATCTCATAAATATGATTACATTATTGACAAAAATGATTAAAACTGTCGAGTTTCTTCATGTGCCTAAAAGATTTTAGAAGCAACCACGACAAAAGCTGCCTCTTGTTCTTCCTCAAAGCCTTGAAGATCACCAAAACACTCTTGTTTCTAGTTTTGCTTTGTTTGATTCATAAAGGAGAAGTCTTTGTATTCGATATTGTAGAAGTAATCTCTAAATAACTATTTGTTGTTAATCTTTTTATACATATGAGTTTTCTAAACCTTATTCTCATGATTCTGTTAAACATTGAGTAGTTTACTTATTGGGTTTAAAGGGTAAATCAAAGGGGAGCAATGATCGATTAGTTTAAGTTGCGATTTATAATGTTTAATTTGTTTACAACGTTCATTTGTTCTGAGCTTAATCCTAATGCATGTAGTTAGCGTCATAAACTAACTTTGATCACATGTAGGTAAACTTCTTTACCCGAGAGTTTATTTATTAGAATCAAGGACTTGGATGAGTATCGTGTTATAACATGCACAAGTTGAGTTATAGAACTTTATGGAAATTATCAAACTTGCTTATATTGCTAAGATATATGTGTTGTTGCATGCATTATTTGAGTAGTAGAGTATATAGACTTTAGAAAATTGACTCTATGATTTATAGATTAATTGTTCATCCGTGCTTCGTAGTCTAGGATTTAGAAGTGAACATACATTCACCTTAGATTTCTCTTATTGATTTACCTTACGATTTATTTGCTTCATTTGTTTATGTCTGTGACACCAAAACAAAACCCCTTTCATATTATCTTTCTAGCTTTAGTGTATTCTGAAGGATTCGTAGAACAACAACCTCTCTCTTTGAGATTCGACCTTTTAACAGTATAACCAGTTAACTGTGCACTTGTAGTTGTCTTGTCTATTTGAGGTAAAATATTGACAAATATCAAATGGATGGATCTAAGAACGCCACTCAAGAGTGTGAAAATTCTTGTGGTGGGTTCAAGAGAGACATTGACTCACCATATATTCAAGCAAAATCATGTTACAAAATGAAAACAAATAAAGGTTTTATATGTACTAATATTTTTAAAAATTATTAACCAATATTTAATAAAATTTTACTAAAATGCAAAATAAAAAAATATCATAAATTTTTATACTTGAATAAAATTAAAAAAATTTAAAAAATAATATCATAATTAAAATTTTTTATTTAATCTATAATTATCCAACCAATAAAATCAATAAATCCCTAAACCAAACAATTAATATCTACAATTCCAAATCCTAAAATCTAAAATTCCAAATCCTGTAATTCTAAAATCACAATCTATATTCAAAAATCACAATTACAACATCTAACAATAATATTTACAATTCCAAAACTGTGTAATGCAGAAGCTAGCGAAAATTGTTGAAATGATGAAATTAACCTTGACCACATGTTTGGAACCAACGCCGATAAAGGCCTCTTTTCTTTTGTTACTTCTGGTACTAGATTGACAATTTCGATTATGAACTGATATCTTAATGAAAAAGTAAGGTATGCGAGACATAATGATGCACGAGCTGATGTCGTCTATCATCATTTCATTCTTTTCATATACGATAAATCGACACTTGAACAACAAAAAAGAAAGAGATAAATAAGACTATTTGGTGAGATTGGATATGGATAACTCAAGAGACTATCTCAATGATCCAAACATATAGAGAGACCTTTGCTGCTACGTAACAATCATGACTACACCTCCATCATATAAATAACCGACTTTTCAGTCAAATCGAGTTTGTGTACCATGATTTAAAACTCTTAGTTCTATAGAACAACTATATGGATAATTCCTTAGTTCTCTACAGAATAGACATGAACTAACGTTCTCTAACCAATAACAAATTCTTGTAGAGCAAACAAATAAATATAAAGTCATTTCTTAAAAACAAAAACATTAGCATATATAAAAAGTTGTCTTGTTATTATTCAAAACATTTATTCAATAAAAATAGATATAAAATAAGCTTTATATATATTAAAAAGACACAACAACCATTGACTAATGAATTAGTCGTATGGCTTAGGTCATAAGCCGCAAACTACTAATTGCATAAAGTTAAATAAATTCAGAAAAAAGAATAGAAAATTATGATCTACTCCAACGATATTTGGGTCCTGCCGGATTATTGTAATCATTAGTAAACAATATCACACTCCTTCTGAAAAACCATGCACGTAGTTGATCACATTGAGGAGCAAGTGTATTTTGACTGTATACTGGAATCTCCCTATAAAACCGCATGTGAGGTGGTCCGTGTTTAAAAAGACAATTCCATTTTGTTATATTGAATCCTTCATCCTTGAGTGTAATGATTCTAGTAGCGTTGTAGTCTAGGTATAGGACTCCTAAATCTATTTTCTTGGAACGACAATGATATTGGAGAATTTCACCAGGACCGAGTCGGTTCCTAATTACTATCTTGTTTTCTTTACAAGCTTCATTTACTCCATAATAAGTAGCCGTAACTAACATGAAAAATATTAAACGATTCATTTTTGTATCTAAAAGTAATTATTGGAGTAATAAAGGCATCAATTTGTAGTATTTATAATTTATTTGTGACGCTTATTTAGTAACTAATCTTTTTATAGTATTAATCAAATTTAGACACAAACACGAATGTTGGCCAAAAGAAAAATAGACACAAACATGAAAAAATTAGACCTCTGGTTAGAAGAGATTTTAGTGTCGAAATCTATGGTTGACCAATAAGAAGAAACTAAAGAATTAATTTTAAACATTACATTTGACCACAAAACCCAAATTAAACCATATCAAAAGTTTAAGATATAACAAATGTCTTGTAAATTTATTATTTTAAC